AAAGCTCTTACAGAGAAGAACTGAGCCAAGGAAAGAGGTCCTTGCTCTCAGAGGAACCCAGAACACCTGAGATAGCCCAGCTACCCCAAATGGTATAAAAGTAGCAGGATGGGTTCTGTGGCAGTGTTGGGAAAAGGTTTAACAAAAGGCAAAATAAAGAAGCTCTTACAGAGAAGAACCTCTTGCCCCTGGCTCGGTTTTTGCTCTCAGAGGAACCCAGCACACCTGAAAGAGCCCAGCTACCCCAAATGGTATAAAAGTAGCAGGATGGGTTCTATGGGAGAGTTGGGAAAAGGTTTAACAAAAGGTGAAATAAAGAAGCTCTTACAGAGAAGAACCTCTTGCCCCTGGCTCGGTTTTTGCTCTCAGAGGGGCTATCTCAGCAGACCTGAGATAGCCCAGCTACCCCAAATGGCAAAAAACCAGCAGGATGGGTTCTGTGGGAGCGTTGGGAAAAGGTTTAACAAAAGGCAAAATAAATAAGCTCTTACAGAGAAAAACTGAGCCAGAGTGGTCGTCGTAGCTGGGAACAGGAATGGGGAGAAGGGAGGTGTTAGGCCCTCTCAGAGGGATCCAGAACACCTGAGATAGCCCAGCTACCCCAAATGGCAAAAAACCAGCAGGATGGGCTCTGTGGGAGCGTTGGAAAAAGTTTAACAAAAGGCGAAATAAAGAAGCTCTTACAGAGAAGAACCTCTTGCCCCTGGCTTGGTTTTTGCTCTCAGAGGAACCCAGCAGACCTGAGATAGCCTGACTACCCCAAATGGTATAAAAGTAGCAGGATGGGTTCAGTGGGAGCGCTGGGAAGAGGTTTAACAAAAGGTGAAATAAAGAAGCTCTTACAGAGAGAAACTGCTTGTCCCTGGTTCTGTTTTTGCTCTCAGAGGAACCCATCTCACTTGAGATAGCCCAGCTACCCCAAATGGCAAAAAAACAGCAGGATGGGCTCTGTGGTAGTGTTGGGAAAAGGTTTAATGAAAGGCAAAATAAAGAAGGTCTTACAGAGAAAAATCTCATGCCCCTGGCTCGATTTTTGCTCTCAGAGGAACCCAGCACACCTGAGATAGCCCAGCTACCCCAAATGGTATAAAAGTAGCAGGATGTGGTAGTGTTGGAAAAAGGTTTAATAAAAGGCAAAATAAAAAAGCTCTTACAGAGAAGAACTGAGCCAAGGAAAGAGGTCCTTGCTCTCAGAGGAACCCAGNAAAGCTCTTACAGAGAAGAACTGAGCCAAGGAAAGAGGTCCTTGCTCTCAGAGGAACCCAGAACACCTGAGATAGCCCAGCTACCCCAAATGGTACAAAATTAGCAGGATGGGTTCTGTGGGAGAGTTGGGAAAAGGTTTAACGAAAGGCAAAATAAAGAAGCTCTTACAGAGAAGAACCTCTTGCCCCTGGTTCTGTTCTTGCTCTCAGAGGAATCCATCCCACCTGAGATAGCCCAACTACCCCAAATGGTATAAAATTAGCAGGATGGGTTCTGTGGGAGCGTTGGGAAAAGGTTTAACAAAAGGCAAAATAAAGAAGCTCTTACAGAGAGAAACTGCTTGTCCCTGGTTCTGTTCTTGCTCTCAGAGGAACCCAGCACACCTGAAAGAGCCCAGCTACCCCAAATGATATAAAAGTAGCAGGATGGGTTCTGTGGCAGTGTTGGGAAAAGGTTTAATGAAAGGCGAAATAAAGAAGGTCTTACAGAGAGAAACCTCTTGTCCCTGGTTCTGTTCTTGCTCTCAGAGGAACCCAGCACACCTGAGATAGTCCAGCTACCCCAAATGGCAAAAAAATAGCAGGATGGGCTCTGAGGTAGTGTTGGAAAAAGGTTTAGTAAAAGGCAAAATAAAAAAGCTCTTACAGAGAAAAACTGAGCCAAGAGTGGTCGTCGTAGCTGAGAACGGGAATGGGGAGAAGGGAGGTGTTAGGCCCTCTCAGAGGGATCCAGAACACCTGAGATAGTCCAGCTACCCCAAATGGCAAAAAAACAGCAGGATGGGTTCTGTGGTAGTGTTGGGAAAAGGTTTAATGAAAGGCAAAATAAAGAAGCTCTTACAGAGAGAAACCTCTTGCCCCTGGCTCGATTTTTGCTCTCAGAGGAACCCAGCACACCTGAGATAGCCCAGCTACCCCAAATGGTATAAAATTAGCAGGATGGCTTCTGAGGTAGTGTCGGGAAAAGGTTAATAAAAGGCAAAATAACAAAGCTCTTACAGAGAAAAACTGAGCCAGAGTGGTCGTTGTAGCTGGGCATGGGGATGGGGAGAAGAGAGGTGTTAGGCCCTCTCAGTGGGATCCAGAACACCTGAGATAGCCCANGTGGCATCTGTGGGGACAGTGGGGACAGTCAGGGACCAGTGGGGACAGCGGGGACTGTCAGGGACCCCATGGGGACAGCAGGGACAGTCAGGGACCTGTGGGGACAGCAGGGACTCTGTGGTAACTGCCGCGGCTGCTGCGCTCCGACGAGCGGTACCTTCGGGAGTGCGGCATCTGTGGGGACAGTGGGGACTGTCAGGGACCCGTGGGGACAGCAGGGACAGTCAGGGACCCCGTGGGGACAGCAGGGACAGTCAGGGACCCCATGGGGACAGCAGGGGGACAGCAGGGACTGTCAGGGACCCCATGGGGACAGCAGGGACTCTGTGGTAACTGCTGTGGCTGCTGCACTCCGACGAGCGGTACCTTCGGGAGTGCGGCATCTGTGGGGACAGCAGGGACTATCAGGGACCCCATGGGGGCAGCAGGGACAGTCAGGGACCTGTGGGGACAGCAGGGACACTCAGAGACCCGTGGGGACAGCAGGGACCCCGTGGTAACTGCCATGGTTTCTGCGCTCCGACGAGCGGTACCTTCGGGAGTGCGGCATCTGTGGGGACACTCAGGGACCTGTGGGGACAGCAGGGGGGCAGCAGGGACTGTCAGGGACCCCATGGGGACAGCGGGGACTGTCAGGGACCTGTGGGGACAGCAGGGACCCCATGGGGACAGCAGGGACTCTGTGGTAACTGCTGCGGCTGCTGCACTCCGATGAGCGGTACCTTCGGGAGTGCGGCATCTGTGGGGACAGTGGGGACACTCAGGGACCCGTGGGGACAGCAGGGACACTCAGGGACCCATGGGGACAGCAGGGACCCCGTGGTAACTGCGTGGCTGCTGCGCTCCGACGAGCGGTACCTTCGGGAGTGCGGCATCTGTGGGGACAGCAGGGACTGTCAGGGACCCCACGGGGACAGCAGGGGGACAGCAGGGACAGTCAGGGACCCCATGGGGACAGCAGGNAAAAAAAAAGAAAAAGGAAAAAAAAAAGAAAAAAAATAAGAAAAAAAAGAACCTACAAACAGCCCCAACCCGAACCAGTGTGACAGCAGAGCTGTCAGAGTGAGGGAGCTGAGGGGCATGGAAAGGGCTGGCTGTTCTTGCTCCCACGGGGGCTCAGAGAGGAACAGCACCGGCCTTCGGGTCCTGGGGACTGCCTGAGCACGCCGCAGAGCAGGGGCAGCAGGAGGCAGGTGCTGCCTGGCAGGTCCTGCACAAGCCCAGGCTGCCCCCACAGGCACCCCTATCCCACTCCAATAACCTCCCACACAGCTTCCCCCAGCCCCGACACTCTGGGGAAGATGAACTCGGAGATTTCAGAAAAGCAGCTTTAGATACAATGATCCATCCAAAATGGAAAGTTCCCAGTGACTGCCTGGGGAAAGATGGACACTTCTTCCTAGACCCTCCCCCAAAGAAGCTGATCCTGGAAGGACTAACTTCCAGAAGAGAAGCAGAACCCAACAGGGAACTGGGACAGCCCTGGGATGAGGCAGATAAGAGGTTTATGCTGGAGAAGAGAAAATTCCTGCCTTTGGTTCCTCAGCTAAGTATCCCCATACTTGGGAGCAACCAGCCAGCAGACTAGGGACCCAAATCCAGCCCCCAATCCCCTCCCTGGACACAGAGCCAGAACAGACCAGACAACACTGAGAGCTCCACACACAGAGCAGAGAATGTGTCTGGGGTCTAACAGAAGTGGAAGGTGAACAGCAGAACAGACAAGAAGAGAAAGCCAGGGATGCTTCCGGGAAGAGCCTGGGATGGTTCTGCCTCCACCTGAGCTGAGTGCTCCAAAAGCTCTGCTCCTCCACAAAGCCCACATCAGCTGGGCCCAGCCAGGAGGATCCTGCTCAGAGCCAGGGCCCGAAACAGGGACCACAGGGGCAGTCACCTGTCCCAGGCTCTCTGGGACTGGGACCAGCTGAGCGCTGGCTCTTCGAGCCTTGCACGAACCCTGCCTGGCTGGGGCTCCTCCATGAGCATCACTGAACGGGAGGAGGTGCAGCACCACCCTGGGGACCCGCCAGCCTCACAGGGCACTCCTGTCCTCCCATGAGAGAGGGCCTGAGCCACCCGTGCCCAGCTGGCACCGGGCAGCGCCAACCACGGCGCGCAGGGACGCGAGCAACAACAACGCTCCGCACCAAAACTCCTCCAAACAACACACACGCACACACAGAGCTCAATCCGACTCCGACAGAGCATTTAGAAAGTGAATTTTTCTACTTACCCAGCTCAGCACCTGGGAGAGAGAGAGCAAGGTTACAGGGCAGGCACGGCACAGCAGGATACTCACCGATGAGGAGCGGCTAAAGGACCGGCTGCGGNGGCTCCCCACACTCACTCCAGGTGAAACCACACATTTCCTTTCCCCTCTGCATGGGCACAGCCTGGCACAGTCTGATGGTGCCACAGCAGAGCTCATCTGTCACCCACACCCCAGCGAGGCTCTGCCCCTGCCATCAGCTGTGACACAGCCCAGAAAACACCCAAGGAACAGCCCAAACCAAGGCCCAGCCTCCCTGCAGAGCTGGGAAGAGTCCAAAAGACGCAGCCAGCCCTGGGGTGGGTGTAGGACAGCTGGATGTGGGCTCCTGACAGCCCCAGCTAAGGCTGAGAGGTTCCTTCAGGTAAGAGAACCCCCCCTGTCCCTTCACTGCCTCCCACCCCAACACTGGACCCAGGGCATGAAGAAAAAGCCAGTCCCTGGTTTTCTGCCCCACAAAACAGCATCTACTCAGGTCCAGCTGCAGCCCTGAGGGCCAAAAGCAGCTTCTACTCAGTGCAGGTGGATACAGCTTTACCACAAAGTTCCATTTCCCCCCCTTCTCCTTCCCCCCATAGGGCACAGCAGAACAAGCCCAGGATCAGCAGCTGTCAGGCCAAACCCAGACCAGGTGCTTTTATTCACTTCATATTTATTTCTCACAAAGACTGTACAAAATTCTTATAAAACTCTGGTGTGGGGATGGGCTATGACATTGATCCAAAAAATAATTCCCATGCAGTCCCACCAGTTCCATAACTTACAAGGAAACAGATAAGCTACAGAGAGCTGCGAGTCCTGGAGTATTTACACCGAGGAGGGGCAGGAACAGGAGACAAAGCAACACAGGCCAAGAGGTATTTACAGCACGGACACACCGACCCCCCTCACCTCACAAGAACAGCAGCAGCAACAGCAGGTCAGGCCCGTGGTGCTCCTAGGCCGACAGAGAATCTGGGCTATTTACAGTATCTCACATATTAACAGCTTTACAAACGTGTCCAGGAAGTTCATCTCATGTTTATATATATATATAAAAAAAAAAGCACCAAGTGTCTGAATAGAAATCACACAGGCCTCCACGGGGGCTAGAATCCGAGGGCTGGCTGGCACCTGTGGCGTCACCGGCTGATGTCGCGGCTCGAGTCCCACATTTTTGTGCTGGGCTCCATGCCCAGCATGTCAAAGAAGGGGTGCTTGAGGGCCTCAGCCAGGGTGACACGCTTGGAGGGCTCGTACTCCAGCATGCTCTCGATGAGGTCGAACAGGCGGTGATGGTCCTCAGCCTCCGAGGTCAGGTATCGCTGCGGGTGGAGGGCAAGGTGAGGCTCAGGGAGGCTGCACCCCATCCTGATGTTCTCTGGTTTGTTCACACCATCTCTCAGCCTGGAGCTGAGCTCTGAACTCCTCTCTATCCACAGCTGACAGATTGTCACACACCCTCCCTTCCCAGGGAACTTCCTGAACTTTCCATGCTCTCCTTGTTCTCCACATTAAACTCACACTGCAGCAGCTTCCTATTGCTGGGACAGCCAAGGCTCCCTTCAACCACCCTTCTGCTGGCCAGACTGAGTTCTCCTTATTTCAATAATGTTTTGAAAAGTATTTTTAATTCTTATGACTTAGTCCCTGCTGATTGTCAAAATGTGGCTTCCCTGATTTTAACCAATTCACAATATCTTTTATGGGAATTAAAATGAAAAAAGCTTCTTAATAAATTGGTTGAAAGATATGCAAATAGTGCTTATGAGGATATAGATGTTACCCAATTAGCAAGTGATCCACCTTACCATAGACCAGAAAACCAAGCAGCAAAATTGCCTCAGCCTGTATTAACAGATATCAAAGATGCTGCTAGAAAAACTTTGTTTTCAGTTGAGCCAGCTAGTACACCCATGTAAATGCTTATACTACCATCAGACAAGGTGAAAATTCTATAGTTCTTTTTTAGATAGATTACCCCAAGCAGTCAAAAAGCAATGTCTAACTCAGGCTTGCCCAGAGGGAGAAGCTGAGGAGGGGCCCAGCTGCCTCACCCGCAGTGGTTTGCAGTTCTCCCGAACGTAGCGTCCAGCTGAGGTGTTCTCGTCCCAGTCCAGGCGGCCGTGGTAGAAATATTTCTGTTTCCTGTCAGAAGAAAGGGGCAGCAGGTTACACAGCAGCAGCAGCAAGGTGCCAGCCCCAGTGGGACACAGCTGGGTGGCTCCAGAGTGGCATTTCCCCCAGGGTGAAGCACTGCCCGTGGAGCACGAGGGCTGGCTTTGCTCACCTTGTCTTGCGGACCATTCGAGAAGGAATTGGCCCCAAAATCCTCTCCATCATGGCCAGGTGCTCCCGGTTGTCGTGTGTCTGGGAGGGAGAAATGGAAAGGGAAGGCATGGAATAGATTCCAGTGGTTCTGCCTCCAGCCCTGGGTGTTCCCCCACCCAGAACCCCCATCCTGGCCAACACCTTGGGTGTCTCCACAGGGCTGCAGGGATGGAGGGACCCCCATCAGTCTCAGGGAAGCAGCCAGCATCCTCTCACCAGCTGGGAAGTACCCACACCACACAGTTCTCACCTGGAAAAGGGTGAAACCCACATAATACTCAAAGATGATGCAGCCAATACTCCACACATCACAGGGCTGGCTCCAGCCAAGCTCTGAAAAACAATGTTGTTTAAATAAATGATCCAGTTACAACACAAGAGTCCAAATCCCTCTTTCTTTTAAAAATAAATAACTAATAAAAAAATAAATAACATCCTATTCCAGCCAGGCTCTTGGTGCTCTGCTGGCAATATACTGCCCAGCTGATGGTGGATCATGGAATCAGCAAGGCTGGAAAAGACCTCCAAGATCACCAACTCCAACCTGTGACCAATCCCCCAATCCCCACCTTGTCACCCAGTCCAGGACAATGAGTGCCACACCGAGCCATTCCTTGGACACCTCCAGGAATGGGGACTCCAAACCTCCCTGGGCAGCCCCTTCCAGTGCCTGACCACCCTTTCCAGGAAGAAATTCCTCCTGATGTCCAACCCTGGCACAATTTGAGGCCATTTCTCCTTGCTCCCTGGGAGCAGAGCCCAAACCCCCTTGAGGAAGTTGTGGAGAGTGAGAGGATCCCCCCTGAACCTCCTTTTCTCCAGGGGGAACAAACCCAGAACAATGACAGGGCTGTAACCATGGAGGTCCCAGGAAACAGCACTGCAGAGCTGTTAAATCAACTTCCCATCTCCCAGGGCAAACCCAGAATGTTCCTGAATGATGTGGATGCCCAACACTCCCCATCCCAGCAGGGTCCAAGGGGCAGAGACCCAGGGGCACCTTACCCAGGATGACTTCAGGGGCTCGGTAGTGCCTGGTGGACACGATGGTGCTGTGATGCTCGTGGTCAAAGGTGGCACTGCCAAAGTCCACCACCCTGATGGCCGTGCTCTTCACGCTCCTCTCATCCCGTTTCTGCAGGGGGGACAATGGGATCCATCACCTGGCAGCCCCTCCAAACCCTGCCTTTCCCAGCTGAGGGCACCACGGGAGGGGAAAGCTTTGGCAGCCCCAAAGCAGCTCCCAGCACAGCCATGGCTCACCCAGCACTGCCTGGCAGGTCATGCAAAGCCCTGAAGGAGTGCAGGGAGCCCCATCCCCTGGGGCTGTGTCTGAGCCCTCAGGGACACCAAGAGGAGAGCCAAGTTGAGGCAGTGTGTCATGTGTTACCTTTTCCAAGTTGTAGGAGAGCTCGTAGTCAGAGTTCACAAAGAGGATGTTCTCTGGCTTGAGGTCAGTGTGGGTGAGTTTATTGTCATGCAGAACTGAGGGAGAAAAGAGAGTTTGGGTGAGGGGAGAGAAGCAGAACAAGGCTGCACCCCCCCAAAAGCCATCACTGGCACCAGTTTAAGCCACATTTCAACCTGGGTATGAACAGCCAGGCAAAGCCCAGGCCATGATGCTTCACCAGAAGCACAAAGATTTATTGTATTGATTGCCAGAGGAGCAGGGGGGTGGATGCTGGAGTGCTCTGAGCTACTGCCAGCCCACAAGCACCAGAAAATGAAGAGGATTCATTCCCAGAGGGGCGGGAAGGCTCAGGCTCAGAACCACAGCAAAAACTTGTTGCTCTGGGCCACCAGTTGCAGAAGTGCAACCTACTCAGCTCCCCAGGTGAGCCCAAAGCACAGGAGAGCAGCAGGAACACTTACACTTCACAGCCTGGCACACCTGGAAGGCCATGTGCCGTACTTGGTGGATGGGGTAAGGCAGGTAGTTGTTATCCTTCAGGAAATCAAAGGTGCTGAGCCCCAGCAGCTCGAAGGAGATGCACATGTGGCCGTGGTAGTCAAACCAGTCAAACATCCTGACACAGAGACTGACACAAACATTCCAGTTGGGAACAGCTCTGCAGGCTCCTCCTTTCCCTGCTCAGTCTGTACCTCACAGCAAGCCAAGGTGCTTCCAAAACTATCCAGGATCACCTTCAACCACACAACACCCAGCACCCGTTCCAGCCCAGCCCTGAACCCAGCCCTTCCTGCTGAACACCGAGAGCACACTCACTTTGTGTTCTCAGGATCCTTCTCGTTGATTTTCTCCAGCACGTTGATTTCCAGTCGAGCAGCCTCTTTGTATTTCTCCACGTTTTTAATGATTTTCAGAGCAACACGTGCACCACCCCTGTGGGAGAAACAAGAAGAAAGCA